AAAAAAAAATGAGGAGGTGCGGAAATAGAGGGCGCTGTTGGAGCTACCGCGGAACATTTTGGAAAAAAAAAGATCGACGCGCATGATTAAAATCGACGCGCGCGCTGACCAGAGACCGACTTATTTTTTTTTTTGGCCTTATCACCGGTTCAACATTCGGTGTTAAGGATACTGAGCAAAGGCGAAACAGAAAATAATTGGAGCAATACTCTACCCTACAGCCGCGCAAAGCTTTGGTCAATTTATTATTACCAGGATCAGGAGAGGGGTTCATCGGGTCCAGTGCGCACCCCCCCCCCCCCAACACATACACACCCAATGTCTGCTGGGCACCCATACGTGTTTGGATTTTGGGAGCTTTCTTTTATCTTTTACTTTCACCGAATGCCCAAAATGCACAGAATATAATCCAGGTTTTGGGAGGGGCGAGGGACAAACCAACATTTCTAACAACTTTGGCCTGTTTTTTTTTGTTTTTATAGTTCAGGGTTAACATGATAAAATGTGGTTGAGATTATTTCTTCAAAAATAGCAACTGTGTGTTACTGGCGCTTTCGTTTCCTTAATTAGGCCTAAGTAAGAAAAAAAAGGAGAAACAACGGAATAGATAAAATGTCAACAGGAGACAAAACACCGTTACATATACAAAATGACGTTTCTCCCGCCACAGAATAAAATATAGGCCTAACATGTTTCAAATAGGTGAGGCAAAAATATCAACAATGTCACCAACCATAGGCCCCCAGTCAGTATAACACACTTTTTAAAACTTCACAGTTGGCATAGTACGGCGCAAGCGAATTCAGTGAGGCAAGAAATATCTTTTTGTAGCGTCGTTGCATGGGGTTACTAGCCTCAGTCAGCAAACAACCAAATCAACTACAAGCTAGAGCTCATCACGCTGGCGTCGCTAGAGGCGGGACCTTAGGGTGTCACCCCCTCCCCTGCCGCCGCCGCCGCGTGGTGAAATCGTCGTCCCGCTGTCCGCGTGCAAGCGGCAAAGTCGTCGGCAAAATATGCCGCGACTAAGAACGCCACCTATTGTTCAATAGTGTCTAAGATCGCGTACTTCGTTCGTACCCCCGCCCTGCAATCAGGACGCTGGGCCACTCTGATGAGCTTCACAGAATCTTGTGAAGGAAGTGGCCTATGACCTATGTATAAAGCATCTTGCTGCAGCTGTTCAAGACCGCAGTCGTACAATGTACGCAAATGCTACCCGAAAACTTTCTATAGAAATGCACACGTTCCATACTGGATGTGATTTCAATTCTGTTTCATTGCGGCCCATGTGGACACAATTTTGAGCGTCGCATAATCCAATCCGACCGTTCGTAATTCGAAACGGAGCCCGGGAAAGTGCCGGGAACAGTTTTACAGAACTTCCTACATTATTACGCATTTTCAACGAAAAACAAACATCTCTAAGCTGGAAAAAAAAAAGTAATGAGTCAAATCTTAACGGCTGCGTTTCAAACTTTGCAGAATCCATAGACATATAATATATTATTATATGTCTATGGCAGAATCATGACCGTGATGACGCGCAGATCACAGGTCACGCAAAATCCAACCAATCAGAGTGTGAATTCATCAGAGTATCCTAGCGTCCTGTTTGCAGGGCGGGCCGGGGTACAAGCGAGGTACTTACTTTGAACAGCGCCTCCGATCGTCAGTGGGCCCCCGCCCATTAACCTCTCCCTCTCCATGGGCGTCGCAAAGGGGAGGGAGAAAGGGGGAGGCGCTCGCCCCCCCCCCCCCGGAAAACGAAAAAAAGGTGGGAAAAGGGGAGAAAAGAAAGGAAAAAGAGGTGCGAAGCCAGATTGCTATTAATTTGATGGGGGGGGGGGGGTACGGCAATAATGCTCCCCTGCTCACGATCGGCCAAATGGTAAATTGAGATTAAAAAGTTACCGTGAAGACGGATAGTACGGAAGACGGAGAGTGCCACTCAATGGGATAGTACGGAAGACGGAGAGTGCCACTCAATGAGTGTGAATATTTTTTTTGTACAGCAGCCGCCACTTATTACGCCGCCAGATAATAAGTGGCGGCCGCCACATAAGTCATAATGCCGCCACATAAGTCATAATGATTTAATTTTTAGTTATTAATTTTATTCACACTTTTTATGTAGCGGCTGCCACTTATTATCTGGCGGCCGCAACATAAAAAAGTGTGAATATAATTTTTTTCTGTACGTGTGTAAATATTTTTTTTGTACAGCGGCCGCCACTTATTATCTGGCGGCCGCCACAAGTGGCGGCCACTGTACAAAAAATATTCACACTCATTGAGTGGCACTATCCGTGTTCTGTAAAAATCAGACAATCCCGCTGATGAACTTCGGTATCATATCCCTCGGACTTAACTCGGTTCTTCGTGGGAGCTTATTCGAGGCCGGCCGAAAGTTGTCCCAATCCTACGGTGAATCATTAAAGGTTTTGCCCTGCGCCGACGTATAAACAACGTATAAACACTGTTAGCCTATACTCAGTATGTTTCCTACGAGTGAAAGTTATTGGAAAACATCACTTGGGTGGGGCATGGGACTCGAACCCACGACTTCGTACTTTCCAGTACGGAGCTTGTGAAATCGGTTGGCTGGTTCTAATCCGATGAACATGTAGCGGCGGTTATGGTACCGCAAATAACTTGACTATTCATGAGATGGAACTTGCGTCGGGGTGATGTAAATCAATAGGTTTTGCCCTTCCCCGACCGGGGCCGTAAGTCCGGACTCCTCATAGGACCGACGCCTCATATGAGGCATACAATTCCGCCTCATAGGTCCGACGCCTCATAAGTTCGACGTCGGAAAAACGAAGCGTACTGAGCGTCGGAGCTTTGAGGTGTCGTCGGAGCCATGATGAGGCGTCGGACCTATGAGGCGTCGGACTTGGGCCTTTATTTGGTTGGGGGATACCATTTTGTCGGTCTTATGAGGCGTTGGACTTATGAGCGGACCCCCCCCCCCCCCCCACGACCAGCAGTCCCGCAAGCTCGGTGGTTGATTGGTATTAATTTCGTCTGCACTATTGTAAGCGGGAGGACGCGGGTTTGAGTCCCACCCGAGTGATATTTTCCAACTTTCACTCAGGAAGTAACATACTGATTATACAGTGTTAACACGTCCTCGAAGAGCAACGGACCCTATATTGGTCACCCTGACCCAACCCGTTGTGTTTGGGGTGGGGTGGGGCTAAAATTATGGATTTTATATTACTTTAGACATCTCGTTTTCACTTGCAAAAAGTGCAATTGGTATTGTAAGTTTTTGTTTTTAGATGCAGGAAAAGGTTTATAATCTACGAACAAAGAGTTATTTTTGTTTGAATAGTTTCTTATGTGTTAGGTCTAACTTGCACCAAAATAATGCGCGGACTAACTGTACTAGCGCGAGTTACCGTAACGAAAATTACCGAAATATATCCGTCTAGATATTTGATTGCTCTATTTTCATTTTAATATTTTGATATGGTAGCATACTACTATAGTGACCTACACCCTAACGATGTAAGGGCATGACTATTAGGACATTTCCAAATGCAATTGTATTTAAATTCATGTTTGATATGCCATAAAACGCCATATCGATAATAATCGTATTGCTAAACCAACAGAAATTAAGGTAGTGTAGTCACTTAACTTTTAGGGATCTTCTGTGAGGAAAAAAACACCCTAAATGCTTTGATTTTATAGAATAACAGCACAGAGTTGCAGAAGACACCGTTATTGTGGCATGGCTGCGCCGTTCCGAACTTGATCTCCATAATTATGGAGATCACTGGTTCCGAAAGACCTGAAAGAACAGCCTGCGAAGAGCGCCCCCTTTGTCCTATCGTCGACAGACAGGAAAAAGTGGCCCCCAGACGACTTGTTTTGCAATCCTTACTTCGCATATCGGCACCTCTCGGCACCTGTCTAAACTTTAATAAGATAAGCGCAAAATTTAAACGGAAGTGCGCCCTAAAGTCACCGGTTAAACATGTCTGCTAAGAACATTTTACCACAGAGCAGGTAGGATAACATTTCCTAAGATTAGAATAAGATGTGTAAATACTTCTGAACCACTTTTTAGAAATGTTAAATTCCACACTTTTAGATGTCTAGTTAGGAAAGAATGTTGCAAGTTACAACCTGACGCCACTTCCGCGATTGTGTAGGCCTATGGAGGAGACTGGCCGACTGGAAATTCGGCGATCGTGTAGTGGAGGGCCCCTGTTTTGTTTTGATCAAATTAGAGTCAAAAATGTTTTTCATTGCTAAAAAAATCACCTTTACAATCAAAAGAAGACTTTTGGGAGTAATTGCAGAATACCCCGCCACTCGGAAATACACCCCTAAAATCACTGGCTACGAGGTTGGAATCACTGCAAAAGAAACAATTCAAGTCCATTGCCAGCTACGCGGATACTGAGTGGGGTAATCCTTACTTTTAGGACCCCGTTCCTATATAGGAAGGGAAAGACTCACCAAAACAGTTGACTAAATGACACTCAAAATTGACATTCTGATACTTCTTGGCACATCTGAACAATTGGCAATGACACCTTCTTGACTTCTAAAGACTGCTTTAGCCTGCAAAAGTCACTTTGGTACTGGACAGACATCTGCAAAAGTCAGTTTTGAACAGAACTCGTAAAAAATAGAGGTGTCCTAAAAGTAAGGATTACCCTGAGTGGGGGTCCATTATTTGAGAATGAAGCAACACAAAATGAATGAGAGTTGCTGAACAAAATTCTAAGTCCAAACCAACCACCCTGTTGGCGGCTACGAGGCTACGGAGTGGGAGTCCCCTTGAATATGCTTGAGAACGAAGCAACACAAAAGGAATGGGAGTTGCTGAAAAAATTCTAAGTCCAAACCAACTACCCTGTTGGTGGCTACGCGGTCACAAAGTGGGAGTGCAATGGACTCCGCCCTGGAGCATGACGCATACTCGGCATAGTACATACAAGTAGCGCTGAGAATGTTTATTGAGGTCAATCAGCCGTGACCTCGTAGCCGGCTACGAGGTGGATAGATCGAGTGGCGGGGTATTCTGCAATTGTGCCGACTTTTGGGTAGACAGTCATATTTGAATGAATGTATTTGGTACTTTTTGGTAGGCTACTCACAAATTTACTCAGACTGGGACCGTCATGACCGTGAGTGCATAAAAACGTGCAAAATTACTACTGACGTTTTTTTACTCACCATTAGGCAGGCTAATTAATGCCCACACAACACATACATTAAAATGATATAGTTGCAAGCATGTCACCTGCGAAATTTGAGACCTTAAATCCAATTTTAAGGCAAGTTTTTGGCAGTTCAAAAACCATGCATCAACGTCAATCCCCATGCTCTGGAAATGTGTGTTTGATTCCCAATGTATTCTGGGTAGGTGTATGGAATGTCAGACAAGTCGACCGTTGAGACAACTCGACTCGGGACAAGTCGGCTGTTGAGACAACTCGACTCGGGACAACTCGACCGTTGAGACAGCTAACGTGCACGGCACGTGCACGGTACGGCCACGCGGTTGACCGGAGATGCGCGCACAGGCCCGGCAAATTCGAACGATGTGCAAGGACAATCATGCTGCGCTATATCGGCTCTGCTCTATTATGTGTCATAACTCCCAAACGGCGATCAGCCGCCGTCAAAATCCCCGGTACTATCCCCTAAACTAGGCCCAAAAACATGCGAGGCGACTTGTCTCAACGGTCGACTTGTCTTTCCATTTATCGCACATACGGTCGAGTTGTCTCAACGGTCGAGTTGTCTCAACGGGTGACTTGTCCCGAGTCGAGTTGTCTCAACGGTCGTCTTGTCTGACCCCCGGTGTATGTAGAGCCTTGCAGCTAACTTGTTTTTTATTCGATGGCCAAATGAACATAGCGCCCTCTGTTAAAAAATGAAACATTTTGCATTCACTCAGATCAACAAGAGGGCGCTGTTTTATCTACACGATAATAATGTTATAGCTGAGGAGTCTTTTTGCACAATGCATTGCAGTACACATCAACGTGATGTCTCACGTATGGATTTCGATAGCCCGACTGCGTCTTGCCGTACAGTACTATCGCAAGCTCTGTAGTACGGCCAGACGCCCAATGCTTCCACAGAGGCTGAATTTTTTTGGCCGCTGATGTAGCGATTTTGCTACAGATTTCGATCGAGATTATCTTTTCATCCAGGACACAAATTTCCAAAGTTAAGGTTCTTAGTCGTAGAGCAACTCATACCTTTTCGAAAAAACGTTCTTTTGTCTCAATATTTTCATCCATCTGGCCAAAAGCCGACTTTTCAGTCATCTTCCACAAATATCGTCCCGAAAATGCTCCCCCTTGCGATTTCAAAATGGCGGCCGCGCTGTAATGTATGCATTATGCGAGTGCGCTTGGGCAAGGTAATGAATATGCATCATAGTTTATGACGTTTGTCGGACACTCGGCGCGGCTGGCCATACAAACACGAGGTCATGAACTAAATAATGCATATTCATTATCTTGCCCAAGCGCGCTCGCATAATGCATACATTACAGCGCGGCCGCCATTTTGAAATCGCATGGGGGAGCATTTTCGGGACGATGTTTGTGGAAGATGATGACTGAAAAGTCGGCTTTTGGCCAGATGGATGAAAATATTGAGACAAAAGAACGTTTTTTCGAAAAGGTATGAGTTGCTCTACGACTAAGAACCTTAACTTTGGAATTTGTGTCCTGGATGAAAAGATAATCTTGATCGAAATCTGTAGCAAAATCGCTACATCAGCGGCCAAAAAAATTCAGTCTCTGTGGAAGCATTGGGCGTCTGGCCGTACTACAGAGCTTGCGATAGTACTGTACGGCCAGACGCAGTCGGGCTAGGATTTCGATAACTCTCTGCAAAATTAGAATTAAAAGCTGAATTTTTGGTGATGCAATGCTCACAACAGCAACTTTGCGAGGCAGAAGTTTGGGGGATTATTGAAGAAACTGTAGTGAGTAAGAAGCTTGCAAATTTGATTCACACTGGTTTTATTATGCAGCACAAACTTTTGCACGATATGGATACCTTAAGTTTTGGGACTCTCATACACATTTACATTCTTTACATACTGAGTAACCTACATGTACACAAACTAAATAGGTCAAGTTTGTCCCAACTCTGCCAAAAATGACCCACAAAAATTCCCCATTTTGCTCTGACACATATCCAAGACGACAGCAATCTATCAATCAGTCAAGACCCCGTACATGTAGTTGCATGGGTAATGTTGTCCCTGGTCTTTATAGTATCTTTTCCCCTTAGATGTTAGAAAATGGGTTTTTTTTAAACCAATTTCAAGACCAGGTTTTACAGTGACATCATTTGTTACTTTTTGTAAAAGTGTTATTGGATTAAGGAAGTAAAGGGAAATATAAGATTTCAAATAAACACTTTGAATAATAGTCCAATGTTTTCAATCACAATACTGTTTTTTTTTTCAAATTTCTCTGGTTATTATTATGTCAGTGTGTGTACATGTACAAATTACCACTACTCCAATGGAACAACTCATAAACTTGCAAATCATAGTCACATGTAGCACAACAATACTTGTCCCTTTCTTTGTTGTTTAGCATAAGCTTGAATGGGAGTTACGCCAACGTGAGGAAGAAATCGCTGAGCTCCAGAAGGCCCTGAGTGACATGCAGGTTTATCTCTTCCAGGAGAGAGATCATGTCTTAAGGCTCTTTGCTGAAAATGACCGCCTGAAGATACAAGAACTGGAAGATAGAAAAAGGTGCGTGGGATTGTCTGATGAAGATGTTTTAAGTCTTGACTAAGGCTCTCAGCTAATGTTCTGCACTGCATGGATCATAGTGAATAGCTGATCTGGATTAGTGTGTTGAGCTTGTCACGGGTGTTGGTCACTTTGCTGAATTACCACTTCGCCGAATAACCACTTAGCCAAATGGCATCAGGTCAACTCGGACCCAAACCAAGTCGGACCCATGCCAAGTCGGACCCACGCCAACTCGGACCCACTACCAACTCGGACCCACTACCAACTCGGACCCAAGACCAACTCGGACCCACTACCAACTCGGACCCAAGCACGACCAACTCAGACCCAACAATGACTTAATCATTAGTTTCAGAGATTATATTTATACATGTAGGTCATCTTAATAGTGCTTATATAGTGAAGATATTCGGTAATTATATTGGTCAGAATGGGGCTTTTAGTTTTGTTGTTTGATTATACTACATTGATTTTGCACTCTTATTACTCATTCACATGAAGAAATGGATATGTGCAATGTTTTCCTTTTTCATCTGCTTTTTGTGGGTGTGTGCCAAATAATCAGTGTTGTAGGTCTCGAGACCGGTCTCGAGACCACTTTTTGCTGGTCTTGGTCTCGGTCTCGGAAGCTGTGGTCTCGGTCTTGGTCTCGGTCTTGGTCCCCTTTAGCCCCATAAATGTGGCCTATTTACTGGACTGCCTCCGTAAACATAGGCCACACATCCACATGTACAAAAATCGTGTCGACGGAGCCAAATTTTGATTTTCACATTTAGGCTTAGTTTGTAGGGTTTTTTTGCTTTAGAAGTATACTCACCCTCTTTATAGGCTAATCAGAAAGTGCTGCCTTTTTCAGATGTATATTTTTCGTGAAATTTCCAGATTCATTTTTACACGTTTGTGTATCAAAATTTCAAAATGAAATTTCACAAAAATTAGACATCTGAAAAAGGCAGCACTTTCTGATTAGCCTGTAAAGAGGGTGAGTATGCTTCTAAAGCAAAAAAAACCTACAAACTAAGCCTAAATGTGAAAATCAAGATTTTTGTACATGTGGATGTGTGGCCTATGTTTACGGAGGCAGTCCAGTAAATAGGCCACATTTATGAGGCTAGGTCCCCTTTGGTCTCGATATTTTGGCTCGTCTCGGGTTGAGACCGGCAATATGTAGCTTTTACAGCTTGATCGATTACTTTTTGTTTACTTCGTTCAGTACAATTAATAGTTAAAACATTTGCTAGCCCGTAGATCAAGCTTGTTATATATCGCGGTCGGTTTGGACTTGACAGCACGTTGGAAAGTCTCCAAAGTACATGTAAAGCTGCAGCAGTTCCAGTCACTGAACGATTTGGAACAAGTTCGGCATTTATCTGTTGAGTCGGGCACATAAAGCAAAGTATAAACTTCTAACAATTTATACAATAAGGGTCAACCATTTTTGGGGATTGTGTAGTTTAGCCCACCCCTGTGGGCGTAATCACTTGCATTTTGTATTCTGATAATAAATGAGGTGCTTCAAATTAGTTATATATTTTCGACCCCACACAATGATCTCTTTAATTTGGGACAGTATTTTGAAGAAAAAGTAAATATTTCAACCTGATTTTCCAGCATTGAACTCACACACTCTTACCAGTTACCACTCACTGTTGCCATGAGAGTGTATGATGAGACCCCATTTTCTGGCTGCTCAGTTTGAAGTACCCCATTATTCCTCAAAAATTAAAATCCCGTTCAGAAAAAAATTAAAAATCCATATCTGGCACATACTGGCTACCACCTCACAACTTGTGGGTCTACATGTACAAGTCCACATTCTATGACAGAAATTTAAAAATTGATTCAACATTTTCTAGCTCCCATTTTTTAAAATCAAGTACATGTACACAAGTCTTGTTAGAAGTTAAGTCCTATATTTATTTAAGGAAAAAAAGAGGCACAATGTAAAATTAAAATTGCATCTTTAAATATCCGTTAGAAGTCATAGCTGAAACCAAGGGGTGACTGTGGAGTTTAGGATCCGAGTTCCTATAACAGATGAAACATCTACCTTTAACTTTTACTTTTGTCAAGATTGGGTGCAGCCCATTATATTTCTTAAGTATAACTACTTTTTGCTCAAGTAACGTGTCGTGTATCAATTTGTCAACACTGCCACTGGTCAAAATTTTGGTCTGTAATCTTTGTGAATAGAAAGGTTACAAGTTTCAACTATAATAACGTGTCTTGTTTTTTTATTTCGACTATTGTTATTTATTATCAGCGGTCTTGGTCTCGGTCTCGGTCTCGGACCATATTGGTCTCCGCCTTGAAGGGGCTGGTCTCGGTCTCGGTCTCGGACTATGCGGTCTCAACTACAACCCTGCAAATAATATAAACCAAATTAAATCACACTCAATGAAGGATTTCAATATGTCACAAAAATGTTGTTCAGTGAGGAAGTTATTAATTTGAAATACATGTAGACCTTTCATTTCATGTAATTGTTAGTTTGTTTAATTTTTTTTTTTTTTACGAATCTGTTTAACTTTTTATACTTTTTTGATTAACTTTTTTCCCCCATGGAACATCATAGTCGAACATACAGACAGCTAATGTACCTGTAAGGCCTTGAAGGATAATCTTCCCAGAGCTCCAATACTCCTTTTTGATGATTGACATTTCATAATTGTAGGGTATTTAATAAGTTGATCTTTTTTTTAGTTCACATGCTGGCTTTGAGTTTTGTGGGTTTTTTAACGAATCCGTGTAACTTACTTTTTTGATAAACCTTTTTTGTTCAATATGGAACCTTCGTTTTTCTTGCAGTGTATGCAATGGTGTTTATGTGGTTTTTTTTGTTAAATACATATACAAATGTACATGTAGAAATTAGAATAGACTTTGTTTTATACTTTATTTATTTTATTGAATGACTTATAATGTTTACTTATATTTATTGAATTAATCGTGTCATGTTTGAAAGTGTTTATGTTTCAATGTCATACTTTCCAATTTTATTTTTCTATGAAGATCTGTTTTGAATTTATGTGGTTTGAATTAAAAATGAAATGAATTGCTGTTAAATTGAGCAAGATGGCGTGAACGATGTCAAATATGAAAATGAATAATTGGTTAAACTTTAATTTTAAATTTTACTTTTGGTTAAAGCGCAATATGTTTCAATGGAAACAAATAATAAAAATAAATAATTAATTACACTTTTAAAGCGCATTTCAAAAAAGCATTTCAATGCGCTTTACGACGACAAACTGCTGCAATACAGATATTTTACCTGACAACTACAATGAAAATTTATACTTAAAAGCATCACTGTATTAACAGATGATAAGTGGACAAACTTTATGAAATTGTCAAATAATTGTAAAAGTCCGAGTTGGTCATGCATGGGTCTGAGTTGGTAGTGGGTCCGAGTTGGTTGTGGATCCGAGTTGGTAGTGGGTCCGATTGAGTTGGCGTGGGTCCGAGTTGGTAGTGGGTCCGAGTTGGCCTGGGTCCGAGTTGGCTTGGGTCCGACTTGGTTTGGGTCCGAGTTGGATCGAAACCAGCCAAATTACCACTTAGCCAAATTACTGCTTTGCCCAATTACCACTTCGCCGAAAGTATTTGCTAACACATTATGCTCGCATGCACAAACTCATGGTAATTATAACAGCTGACTGGTACTTAATATTAAGTGGTTTTCATACTTGTTGTGTCTTCTTTTACTAGGTTTATGTGACATTGTCCTCTCAATTCACTTTGAAAGTGAAGAAGTGGAATTTATAAAATATATTAATCATTGACTGTCCGTACACGGTGACCATGTTTTTGGTCGCACACAGTTAATTCTGAAACTTTTTTTTTTTCTTTTTAAATCTTCATCCCCTTCAGTACTGTTTCAAGTTGACTATAGAATGAAAAAAGTTGAATCTCATATGGGTTTGGATAGGAAGGGGTAAAACAACCCCAAGTTTTTCATGTAGCTCATTTTTATGGCTCCATACATACATGTACGTGTCTGTAGGCATTTCTTTATGGTGTAAATCAAGGACACACACATGCAACGTCATCAATGAATTGTAAATGGAAGACGAGTTCGATTAGAAAACGTGTACTAAACCAATGAGAGCAGATGCAAAAATGTTCAGAGTATAAACAAAGGAAAGGGAAGAGAAACATTAGAAAATCCTTGATTTACACCATAACAAACTTGTTAGTACGTGCGTTTGCGTGCAATTCGGCGAAGTGGTCATTCAGCGAAGTGGTAATTCGACGGAGTGGCAAGTAGGCGAAGTGGTTATTCGGTGAAGTAGCAAATCGTTGAAGTGGTTGTCGACAAAGAGGTTGGTTGGCAAAGCGACTGCAAAAACCTTGTCACAATAGCAGTGCTACTGCCTGTCCTGAGGCTGAATTGAATCCATGTACATGTATATATACATTGTACCTGTAATCTGTATGTTGTGCAGATGGATGGTGACTGTTGGGGAGGATTCTTTGATTGGCAATGACGGACTGACAACCTTGCGGGCAGAGTACAGGTCATTGTTTGCAGGGCTGGGTAGAGCTTCAAGTTCTCTCTAGGTGTGCTTCACAAAACAGGTCTCTATTAATGTTGTGCATTTTTCCAATAATTTAGTCTTTGAATATTGGAACTTGAATTTGAACAAAAAAATCATCCAATGACATTGAAATAATTTGGAATGTATCGATATAGATTTTGAGCTAGCTGACAACCTGGCATTTGGCAGATATTGAAGATCCACATTAGGGCTTACATTCCTCATGAAAACTCTCAAACCATCTGCGTAAAGTGTGGCGTTTGACTAAACAAATCAAATCTCTCAACTTAAACTCATAAAATCACATCATGGACGGTTTTTTGTCATTGCTCACATTAAAAAAACAATTCAATTTGATAAAATGCTATTCGGATATTCGGTGGATGATCAAATATTTGGATATTCGGTATATTTTGCACAACCCTTGTCTAGACTAAGCAATTGCAATTTGTTCCACACTAGTGCAAAAGTATGTTTAGAGATGATGCATTCATGAACATGTATGAATGTTGGTGCTGCTTTAATACCCCACATGTACAATCAGTTACACGTATAATGTGATATGGAAGTAAACAAACCCTGTTAGTTTGGATTTACCAAAGGTGTACTAACTTGAACTTTTCCAATGATTTGATTTGTACTTGACAGAATCCAGCATCTGTTATCATTATCAAGCCCATCAGGTCCTGAAGTGACATACTTCCACAAAGAACCATCAACGCGGGCAATTGTCACACAGAAACACCCACAAAAGAGACATCCACATGCAGGTCAGTGTGTAACACCGCACTGGCAACTCTACCAACGGGGCTGCAGACTCATATTTGTCAATGTCCTTGGCCAAAATTTGTTAATCAATTCCCTCGCCCATCCATGGGCAATTCTACAGAATTATAAACCTGAATGCCAACAATTCTTAATGGCCAAAATGCCACAAAAGAAATATACATATCAATTTGAAGCATATTATCTGTATTTTATTGACATGTAGTTTATTTAAAAGGGAAGATACAACATCATTGCAAACATCAAAAAACGAAATGATCAAATTATGACGAAATATATTACTGGACTGTCAGTGAATGACAGTCTAAAGCATCCTGTAAAATTCATATTTAGTCATTCCGCATTTTCTTTGCAATCAATTACGCATCTGTGTAGGGGTACAAGCCTGCTAGACTGATTCTCTGACCTAACTTCCTCAAAGTGTACAAAGTGCTACGTCTCATCTTACGTCTCATGTCACCAGACCACAAGAACATGGTTGGATTTCTTAGATTTTCTGGCATTTCCGAACCCAAAACGTGAAATAGGTCAGTTTAAAGGGAAGATACAACATTGGCAAATATTACAAAACGATATGAACAAAGTATCACTAAATACCTTAGTGGATTGTTAGGGGATGACAGCCTAAAGCATCCTGTAAAATCGTGGCTCCTGGTGTGCTGACATTTAAAAAAAAAAATGGTATTTTTCCAACGCTGGTCGGCCGACCAGCAATGGAGAAAACTGTTTTTTTTTTTTAAAACTACTCCTAATTTTTCATAATTAGTTATTCTGTGTTTTCTGTGCAATTGATTACACACCTTTGAAGGGGTACAAGCCTACTAGACTGCCTCTCTGATCTTACAATCCCCCAAAGTCTATAAATTCTCTGTTTCATCTTAAATGGGGTCTGTGAACCAGACTACAAGAACATGAATGGTTTTCTTGGTTTTTCCAACATCTACAAGCCCAAAACGTGAAACAAGTCATTTTAACAATATTTGCTAAAACATACTAATCCTCCAAATCCATTTATTTCTGATTATTGCAGCAAAAGCAAATGTTGTACATGCCCTTTAACAATATTTTTTATAGCACACTAATCCCCCAGATGCACTTATTTTGAACATTGCAGCAAAAGCAAATGTTGTACATTCCCTAACAAGTTCAACAGTTTGGCTGTTACTTGTAAATGGAAAATCAATTGATGACAATACAAAAAATTGATTTGTCTGAGTACGTCCGGTGTTTTGAGCCAATTTCTACTACAGCAACAAAGTTGGATGAATAATTTCTTCTTTGACTCATCAAAGTAACTAGTGACTAACTGATATGTTTTATCAGAATTAAAATCTACCCCGTGATTATAACTACAATTACATACACTGTTGAATTGCCCAAAATGTACGTCTGACACTGCGGAACTGCCCCCATTTAAACATTATTAAGAGTAAACCTAGTCAAGTTCCCTTGTATTGGGTATTTTAAGTGTCAACAGTTCTTCAAGTTGTCCTAAATGTCTCATCCTTTTCCAAACAAGCAAACAACTCAAGGAATGCCATGGATAAGCCAGTTCGGTATTTCAACTGCTTATGTGCACAACGATATGGGTCACCGGTCATTCGGGATAGTAGAACGATCAAAGGCGCATGAATGCGGGTGCGCGACGCTTGTGTGTAAATTACCACCAGAGTGGTCGTGCGCGTAACATCGCCTAACATCGTGTCAGCAATGTTATCCCAAATGACCTCAGGTCATTGAAATACAGAACTGGTTTATTACAATGAATTACAGTCGGGCATTAGAAGACTTTTGACCCAACTTTGAACATTGCATTTTATTCTGGCAAACAATTATATATCTGCACACACTGTCCATCAGATTTCAAAGGTATATGAAGGTGTAACCTGTAATTTCCAAGACGTCTCATGTTTTCTTCTTACTTGCCTGTCTGGTTTTTTTTTTCCAGAGGGTGAAATATTGGGGTTTAAAAGCCAGAGTGCCAAGCAGACCACAGAACAACAGAACACGGAGGAATGCACAACACAGAGTTACTGCTAACACAAAAGGTAGGTAGAGATTACATACCGGTATGGTTGAGGCAAAGGGTGGTTGATAAAACATTGCAAAGCCAACACTCCTCAGATCTCATACCAACCATATCAGGCCCATTTTTAGTATTTGTGGGTCAGATAAACTAGTGGATCATAGTATTAATACAATGTATGTCAAATCAGGTTTTGCCCTTCATTGATGTATAAACACTGAATACTCAGTGTGTTACCTCCTGAGTAAAAGTTGGAAAAAATCACTCGGTTGGGACTCGAACCCACAACCTCCTGCTTTCTAGTGCAGATGTTTTACCACTTGACCACTGAGCTAATGGGATCGGTTGGCTGGCTCGAATCTGATGTATTGGTACATGGCAGCGGGCATCGCATTAACTATTTATAAGGTCTATGGGATTTTAATTTTTTTTTAAGCATTAATATGGTTAAGGTTTGTGACTCATGATCAGAGGGTCAGGGGTCCGAATCTAGTTGCCGGTTATATGTGTGTCCTTGGGCAAGCCACTTCACCCCCACTTGCCTCTCTCCACCCAGGAGTATAAATAGGTACCGATATTAGCTGGGAAGTAACCTGCAATGGACTGGCATCCTATCCAGGGGGGATAAAAAAATATCCTCGGTCGTTTCATGCCTTTGAAACCGGAGATGTATTGGCTAATGACAGACTTTACTTACTTTCATAGTATTAATAGTAAATATATATATCTGTTGCAGCTTTTGGTAGGTGTGTTGATAATTCCTTGATCAGCTGATGAAATTACCTGTAGTTACTCCCCTGAGAAGTGAGTTTGGCAAAAAAGCCGCCTCATCATACCATGAACTTTCCAAGATTAGTTACATACGTTATCCCAGTAAAGTTGCTTCAATCACGATAATTGATCAGATCATCTCCAAAATGGTGGTTTCTTTTGTCCGAGTCTGTACCAGCAGGTTGATCCTGTTACCATCCATCAATATTTTCCAATCCTCATTTCAGTCCAACAGCGCCCAGCCCAAAGCTGTCCATCCTGATTCAGACCAGCAGCAGGCAGAGCCAGAGAGTCTGTTGCTACAGATTGAAGCTCTACAATCTCAGATGAAGGAACAAGCTGAGCTATCTAGAGAGCGGACGGAAGCCTTGCTGGAGGATCGTAGGGTCAGGATGGAAGAGATGCAGACTGTGATTGAGAGAGATCGCTCCAAGATTCACTCCCTCAATGAAAAGTAGGAACTCCCTTCATTGATTCCTTATAATCTTAAATGAACTTGACAAAGGTGCCCAGTGGCATAGCTAATGATAGGGGAGGAGGATGAGGGGCATGGACCCCTCTGCTCAAAGACTGCCTCCTACTAGAAACTGAGGTCCCTTTAGGGCCCTCCAGCAACTTGGACCCCAGTTACATCCTTGAAGGTACCAATAAAGATAAATGCACATGTGTGCAGTTTGGACAACGGGCAGGGGTTTCAAATAGATTATATTACCTGGTGTTTGTGTTGTTGCATGAATTGGCAAAACATTTCTAAATATGTGGAGTGCCCTGGCCTCATGGTCTGGAGCATTGAACTCGTTGTCTGTGGGTAATTCTACAGGTTGTGGGTTCGAGTCCAGCCTGGGGTTATGGTGCATGTTCCCTTTGGCAAGACACTTTGTCACTCATTGCTTCGCCCCACCCAGGAGTAAATGGGTACCTGTGAGAACAGAGATCGCAATTGTGATTGATTTTAGCTACCTTGCGTCGAAATGACTACACCGAGCTGTATGGGCTTTATTCAGGAGTCGACTATATTAAATTGAAAGCGAGGTAAAATCTTCATATTTGGAACTTGCAAAGAGAAATTAAAGCAGTGACATAAAATTAATTACAAATTAATACCAGTCTGCTTTAATGAAAATTTAAATTTGTTGTTAAACATACCCTAATGTTTTTAAGCCACATTTAAAATAAAAATTGAAAGTGAGGCTAGAATGCAAAAATAGTCTGGCACCATCCTATTCAATAGTTTATAAAATACTGTCAGGGAACATGACTAAAATGACTTCCTCGTGAATAAAAATCCATATTCCACAGGAAGCTGAGATTGTATTTGCAATGTTTCATTGGCCCAATGATCAGGGGTAATAATAATGTAAAGCACTTTGATCTTAGTTATTTTAGAAACCACAGTCTTTCCACACTAGTATATTGGCAACACATCTTGCCAAAATAACATGGAGGCATATGCAGTGTGTGCTTGCTGAAATTACATGAGTCAATTGACTAATAAAACCAAATTAGGTTTTGTCCATCACCGATGTATAAACACTGTATTCTCAGTGTGTTTCCTCCCGAGTGAAAGTTGGAAAAAAATCACTCCGGTGGGACTCGAACCCACGACCTCCTGCTTTCTATTGCAGATGTCTTACCATCTTATGAATAGTTAATGTAGTACCCGCTGCTATGTACATCAGATTCGAACCAGCCAACTGATCCCGTTAGCTCGGTGGTCAAGTGGTAAGACATCTGCACTAGAAAGCAGGAGGGTCATGGGTTTGACCGGAGTGATTTTTTTCAACTTTCACTCGGGAGGTAACACAGAGAGTATACAGTGTTTATATGTCGGTGAAGGGCAAAACCTAATTTGATTTACATCACCCCGACGCAAAATGAAATGAAATCTTATGAATGACTAATAAGACACTTACCGTTCTTTAAACAAAAGTAGAATGTGTATCCTTTATTCAGCTACCTTGTTCAACCATCATACATCACTTGTCATGGACATTCTTCTGTTAATAGGTTACATCGTACACAGCAGATGTTGTATGACAGCACTAAGGACTATCTAGAGCTGAAGTATGAAGGACGATCTCAGGAGCGAGTCTGGATGGCAGAGAAGGACCGTCTACTACAGGAGCTGGATCGATGTAAGGAACAACTAGATGTCTCCAAAGATGACGTCTTAGTCATCTCAGATCATGCACTGGAAGAGAGACAAACACAGAACTTGGAAATTGAGGTGGGCATTATAGAGAAGCTTCCTGCACAAAGAAATCATTTCAAGTTAAATACAATACAATAATGATCATTTTCAAGCAAATTCGTTTGAATTGCTTTAAAAAAAGAACTAACTTTTCCATTCAGAAATCATTTTTTTTTCAAAAGTTAGCAAAACAAAAGAATCTTGTTACAAAGTCACAACTGAATGGCCCCCTCAAAAGCTGCAATCAAACTATTGGGGTAATCGCACATAAGGAGCATTTTGGACTTTGGCAGATCTACTTTATTCAGTGTTGTACAAATGATACTGAATGATTGCAACGTGGTGGTTTTAGTCTGACGATCTCTTCCATGCAAAATCTTGAGGAAGGCGAGGAGAGCATAGAAGACAAATTTCACCGGCAGTTGTTGTACGAAAAAGACGGCAGGCCTAATGCCAAACTTTTTCCAGTTCCACCTACCATGCGTTAGTGGACTTGTTGTCTTGGACTTTTTCCTTGACTTTCTCCGTGTCTCAAGTAAGATGTGAATTTCTTTAATTACGAGTCAGAAACTCCAACCCTAATTCGGGCTTTTTAATCTTATGGAAACACTGAACATTTTTCACATCGTAAAATTTCATTTGGATCTACATGTACATGTAAAAGAAAAAAAGGAGGCGATGTCCAGAAATTGAACACGAAGTTTATTGTACATATAGTACGTATGTGTACTTGCGGCGCAGCCCAGATTTCGGACACAGAATTTTGGCTGGCCTATTTTCAGATTTTTTCCCCATAGGCCAGTTTCATCCCTGTATGGTCTGTGACTTGAAACATAGATGAGTTTGTGAACAGAACGGGACAAAAAAAACACAGAACCGGGCCTGCGGATCTCGATTTCAAATAAAAGTTGCTGAATCATGTTGCTGAATCATGTTTTGAATTGGGCCTGAATTGAGACACATTCTCATTGAGCCGATTGCAGCTACGCGGTGTCATGCACTGATACGATGAATTAAGGCAACTGCGCGCACGTTTGCATCGTGTCAACGCTTGTGCGTGCTTCGCCAAATAAAAAAGCGAACTACTAACAGAAATTTCCAACGATGCGTCTGAAGACCTTCTTTTGTTGATTTCTTCAAAATGACAGCATGTCAGAAAGAATAATTTCAGAGAGAATTTAGTACTGTCAACCAACCAAGTATGTTTTTCAACGATAATTACATCAGTTACTTTTTGGATAGCTGCAAATGATGGACTGTAGCTTAAAATGACTAGAGACTTAACTTACTGTACAGAATGTACACTGCTGGGTGCGTCCATTTTTGTGCACAAACCTATGGAGAGCTCAGAATTTTTTACTGCTTTTGGGCAATTCCACGGTAACGGAAGGACGTTTTCGCTCATTAAACAAAATTTCAAATGTGCCTATCACAGCCACTGTTATTAGTTACAGCAAGCAAATGTCACAATGGTATTGCTATAATGCTACCTTCAATTTCCACACTTTTGGGGGGCATGCATACCTCTCGTTAATGAATTATGAATATTAATGAGGTCGGTAACGGAAGGACGGTAAAACGGACGAGGGTTTTCCAACTTACACGCGTTTTGCATAAACTCTGTGAATTTTATGGGGCAATTATATTTCAAAGGTAGGAAATGGAATCCCTGCGGCTTTATCTATACTATACCACCTTTCATTTGACTTTAAGTGTTTCGGTGATATAATTACAATGTCTTAAGTGGATTATAATTTGGTAGCGGAAGGACGGTAACGGAAGGACAAAAGGTTTACTCAATTATAGCATGAATAAAATGTGAATTTACACTAATTATACAAGTGAAATAAATTGCTGAAATGTGTAACTGAATGTGAAATCAACAATATGCAGACCTGGCATAAATAATTATACCCAAGAAACTATTGAGATAAAGATAGAAGCCTGCTAATTAATGATAACAAATGAAAAATGAAAACAACCAAAAACACATAATTCACGAACACAAGACAACTACAGAAATGGACTTCAAACCCATCACCTTAATCCTTAAAAGTTTTAAATACACAGTATTTGAGCACTTGAGTATATTGGTTACATGTTCACCAACAACTTTTAATAATAACACCAGTAGGTTCAGTGGTTTACCTAAAGGGTGGGGGGGGGGGGGCAGGGGCGACCAGCTTACATGTACATTAAAAACATCTACAGGTAGAACTGATGGCTTCAGAATCATTGTGCTTTAAAAAATGTTTTAGGTGTTGCTTTTAATTGAACTCTAAATTCAGTGTTTGAAATCAAATTTTAATGATTTAGAGTATTAACAATAATTATCTTATAAACATCCAGCCTGAAGTTGTTAACTTAATTTGTCAAAAATTGCACCTCACATGTCTTACACATGTAAATTGTATGAAAGTGCCCAATAGCACTGGTACTTTCTGCCATCTCATTTTTTACTTAATTTGCTTCTGGAATGGCTTCACAGAAATTGTATCTTTCTCTATTGTCCATGAATGGTGATAGCAGCAACTTAATGATTTGATTTTCTGCAACAACTCCATACATGTATGAGTACCGGTACATTGTCATACATGTACATTGTACATGTACATGTTATACATATGCCTGTGCCATCCTTTGTAATGAACACCTTGCCCTGCTCATACCAGCTTTGTGAAGGTGGGTCACATGAATGTCCTTTCAATGCGCATTATACATGCATGTAGTTGCAGTGATTTTCATTTTTCAAACATGAGCACAAATGTCGTTACATTTGATAAAAATAACATTTGTCCTTCCGTTACCGTCCTTCCGTTACCAATTTGGTAACGGAAGGACGGGATTTAATTAATTGTAATTAAAAAACGATACGTACAGCAGTGTCAGTTATA